CTCTCTCTCTCTCTCTCTCTCTCTCTCTCTCTCTCTCTCTCTCTCTCTCTTTCTTTCTTTCTTTCTTTCTTTCTTTCTTGAAGTTTGCAAGAATTTAGGTTCCCTGTAGTATTTGCTAACTTTGGTGTTCCTACTGCTAGTAGGAGATAAATATTACTAGGATTTGCCTCCAGAATCATTGCTCAACACACTAAATGTTTCATGTCTAGGTCTGATAGAACTTGTCATCTGTGTCTTTAGGTCAGTTGGGGCTTTACACGGTTTTATTTATAGTCACATATCAAGATCAGAAATTTCTGCGAGGGCTTCTAGGGTTAAGATTTGTTATGTGTGAATTTTAACTACCTTTCCTTGTCTGTTGAAGTACATTGAATATGGACAGCAGTCAAGAGATCCTCCAGTAAAGATGCAGGGGTCCATCACCACCCCTGGAAGTATTGCACTGGCCCAGGCCCAGGCCCAAGCCCAGGCCCCAGCAAAAACTCCTCTTGCTGGCCAGGTTAGCACTATAGTAACCACTGCTACTACCACCACCACTGTGGCAAAGACAACAATTGCTCCTGTGGGTCGAGTCAGCTTCAAGAAAGATGTGCCAGTAAGTACTTACTCCCTGAGTCTGACAGGATGCACATAAATGAGGTTTTGGTTGATGAATGTACTTGGATTCATTCTTTTGGATTTGGTATGAATGAACGCAATCCTCTTCAGTTTGTCATTTCAAACAAAAACACCTGCTCTTGCCTGCCTTTTTGCTTTTCAGCTCTTCAAATACAAGTAGTCCTTGACTTATGACCAATTGTTTAATGACCATTCGAAGTTACAGTGATGTTGAAAAGAGTGACTTATATCCGATCCTCATACTTATGACTTATGCAGTGTCCCCACGGTCACATGATCAAAGTTCAGGTGCTTGGCAACCAGCATGTATTTACAATGGTTGCAGCATCCCAGGGTCACATGATTGCCATTTGCAACCTTCCCAAGAGGCTTCTGACAAGCAGAGTCGATGGGGGAAGCCAGATTCGCTTAGCAACCGCGTGATTTGCTTAACAATTGTGTGATTCGATTAACAGCCATGGCCAAAAAGATTGTAAAAATGGGCACAATTCACTTAACCATGTTGCTTGGCGTTGGAAGTTCCAGTCCCAACTGTGGCCGTAAGTGGAAGACTACCTGTATTTATCAGTCTTCTCCTTTGCTTTAAAACAAGGGTGAAAGTTTTTTAGGTGAAAGCCCCTCCCCACCTCCTGCAGAGACTCCCAGGAGTCTGGCCATGAGAAGAACTGATGCCTTTCCCATGGTCAGCTCACTCCATTTCTTTGTGCACAATCAGAATAGCAGCAATTAAAGCTGGACTTCTTGATGCATGGTTACATTGTGGTGGTGGAGAGGCTTCTCTTAGAGAGTTTCATCACATGAACCTAGCAAAGCTTATTTGTTGTTGGCAGGGCTCTCCAAAAAAGGAGCGGAATGATTCTGACTTTTGTTCTCTAAGGTGGGAGTGTGCTGTCAAGGCCTCCCTAAAAAAGCTACATACTGGATAGGGAACTTCTGTGGGCTTGCCAGCTTTAACCAGTTTCATTTTTGGACTTCCTATTATCTAAGGATTTCATATTGCCTTTGAAATCTGTGATCTATTGCATCCTTAACTAAATTTACTCATACCCTTTCAACATGGTTTGTCTTTTGCAGCCTTCTATTAATACAACCAATATTGATACTTTGCTAGTGGCCACAGATCAAACAGAAAGGATTGTAGAACCTCCTGAAAATGTGCAGGAAAAGATTGCTTTTATCTTCAATAATTTGTCTCAATCCAACATGACTCAGAAGGTAAATATTGTACAAATGTAACTCTGATTTGGAGGGGAGGGAGAGACTTTCTGTGTTAGTCAGGTTGAAGTGATCCTTGTACATAAAGAGAAAGGAGTGACTGACCTGATACTATTTGTACATGTGGACGCTTCCTTTTCCTACCATTCTTTTGTTTCTTCCCAGGACTGTTTGAATATGGCCATTTTGATGTAGTGGCCTTTGAAAATATAAATCTGAAACTTCTTCAAATTATTGCACTTATTAATTAAGACTAAATGTTATCTTAGGCCAGATTCCCATAGAGCCACTTTATTTGCAACTGATGAATTTTTAGAGTCTCTCTTCTGTACACCTTCCTTCTGTCATGGCGCATAAGCGAATATGTTTAGTAATGTAGTTGTTCTAAGACCAAACTTATGGGGTTTTTTGGGGAAAACTGAGATGCCACAAATACCAATGTCAAATAACAAGTTCCAGCTTCTAAATACCTTGGTGTAATTTTTCAAGCCTCTAGAACTTGGCAGGAATAAATTAGAGCTATTTCTGCCAAAGCCATCAATGGCACCCAGGCAATTTGTTTTTGTTTTTTTACTTGAAAGGGGGCAGATACATATCTGCTACCATTAAGCTTTTGAAAACTAACAACATTCCAAAAGCTGTATGGTACGCAGGTATGCACCCACAATGATTTAAAGCTGTTAGACCTTGTTCAGTCTAGGTTCTTATGAGCACTCTTCCATGTCTCATGCTGTGTTTCAAATGGTTTAATCTGCATGGAAACTGGTATGATTCCACTGGAAGCAAGGGTCCACGTTTGCTGGCTCTCTTACTGGCTTAAAGTTCTATTTTCTAATAACTTACTGACCCCATTAATTCTTCTTGATGGTTTTTCATCAAGGTGGAAAGAAAAATATCTCGGCTGACTTGTGTTACTACCTACTCTCTGCTGTCCTTAGCTTTAGAGAAAACTAAAGCCAAAATCTGCTAGACTCTTTGACATTGCATGGCAGATAGATTTGGAGGCAATAGCCAACTCTCAGGAGTGTTCCATATTGGAATCCTTTAATACCTACAAACTCCTTATTCACCCTTGCTTGCCAAGCAAACTGTAGAGCCTTACCCTCAGCCATAATAGATGGGAGATAATAGAACCCTATAGAACCCTATTCACCAAGCGGTGCTATTCCTTGTGGTCAGAACAAACTTGGGACCCTCTTGCATGTATTTTTCTGTTGTCCTTTCTACACCAGTATAGTGCCAACATGGTTTTACCATCCCTTAACAAAACTCAGTCTTTTATGAGGGATAGCTGGTCTGTTTCATATTCACAAATCAGAACCTTACTATTACCAATAAAGTTGCTAAATTTTTACCTGCAGCAATTTCCATAAGATGTCCTAATCTTGGAGTGATGACATTATGAAGTTTCTTCATGCTTTTATTTTATTGTATATCTATGTTATCCTATTTCTCTTTTATCTTAAGTTTTATACTGTTCTACTGTATTTTATTCAATTTCTCCTTTACTCTGGTTTTAAGTCTTAGTTTTTAGGTTTTATATGACTGTTACACTGTCTATGCTGTGTGCGTTTTTCTTTTCTACCTTGTTGGTCATTTGAGCTATTTGTCCAAGACAGAATACACATTATGTTAACTTACAGTTTTCAGAAGTTATTATTTTATTTCAGATCTTTATAATTCCTCATCTATCTGAGTTATGGAATGGTTTCCTGTCATCTTATTTCATTAATCCCTTTCCCTTTCTTGTGTGTTTATGGAGCCAGGTTGAGGAACTGAAGGAAACGGTAAAAGAAGAATTCATGCCTTGGGTTTCACAATATCTTGTGATGAAGAGAGTTAGCATTGAGCCAAACTTCCATAGTCTCTATTCAAATTTCCTTGACACTCTTAAGAATCCAGAATTTAATAAAATGGTTTTGAATGAAACATACAGAAATATCAAGGTTGGTGCCACACACAAGCCATATACTTTGCAAGAGTAGATCAGTTGTGTAACTGATATGTAATGCATGAATTTAAAGTTAGCTTACTGAGATTCCCATGTAACCGCTCTTAACAATTTGGATAATGTAATGTACATAACATCCCCCCCTCCAGTTATTGTGCTGTTTATAGCAATATGTTAAGATGTCAGCTGCACCATTTATTTGTTGTATTCTCTCAGTATTCTTATTACTTGCCTAATACAGACATTAATACTGAACTATAGAGCAGGGCTGAGCCCAGAGAGTGAAAGGTTGAAGTTCTCAGTCTCAACTCTGTCCCTGCCTGCCTGCCCTGTTATACTTATTTGGTAGTTATTGCCACCACCACTTATCTTCTGGGAAAAGCCTTGATAGGAAATCCTTACTGGCAAATACAAAGGGGAAAAAAGATTCTGAAAATGAAATAAAATCTATAGTGCTGCCTCACCACTCCCATCCTAAATCAGTCACACAAGCAATAACCAGAGGAATTGTGGAATGAACTCAAAGAAGTCATTAAGGATTAATGTGAAAAGAGATTGCCAAAGATGAAGAAACAGAAAAAAGCTAACTGGATGTCAGAACAAACCGTGGAAATTGGCAAGAAGAGAAGAGAAGCCAAAGTCAAGAAAGCCAAAATCTCAAGAAGGAACATAACAAAGAATTTCAGACAGCTGTTAGAAGAGACAGGAAGCAGTATTACAACATCTGTAAAGACACAGGCAAGCAGCAGAAGAAAGATCAGTAAAACTAAGTTATCCCAGCAAATCTGGAGAATGACACAGTGGCCCGCAGATTGGAAGTGACCAATCTACATTCCAATACCCCCAAAAAAAGGAGACTTAACAGCATGCAAACTATCATGCAATATCATTGATTTCACATGCTAGTAAAATAATGCTTACAATCATCCAATGCAAATTAGAGACCTACATGGAAAAAGAGATGCCATATGTGAAAGCTCGCTTTAGAAAATGCCAAGGAACATGAGACATTATTTCTAATGCACACTGGATAATTGAGAAAGCCAGAGTACCAAAAAAAAAAAAGTGTGTTTCATTGATTATAAAAAGACCTTCAGTTGTGTCAATCACGTCAAGTGTGGAATGTGCTTAGAGAAACGGGAATCCCAGAACACTGTATTGTGCTCATGAGTAACCTATACACAGGTCCAATCTCCAGCTTTCCCTTTCTGGGGAAAGTTGTTGAGAAGGTGTCTGGCATACAACTTCAGAGGGCTCTGGAAGAAGCAAATCATCTGGGCCAGGATATAATACCAATGCAGCATTGATCATGCTTGTGGATGATCTCTGGCAGGCTCGGGGTGAGGGTAGCCATTTTCAGTGCCATCCATATGGCATCCTTCTGAGCTGGTTGAAGGGGTTGACTTCATTGGTTCTGTTCCTTCCTCCAAGGCTAGTGGGGTGGGGGAGGTCCAGTGCTAGGCCTCTGTTTTGTGGGATGCTGGGATTCTCTCCACTGTTATGAAAGCACTAAGCGAGGTCATCCATTGGCATGGGATAAAGTATCAGTGTGTGAGTGATACGCATCAGGGTGAAATATTCTCAATATGCGGATGATGCCTAGCTTTATATCTCCAACCTGGGCCATCCAAGTGATGATTTGGAGGTTCTGTCTTGGTGCCTGGAGGCTGTGGCAATTTGAATGGGGCAAAACAGTCTTCTGAGCAAGACTGAGTGGCTTTGAGTTCTACCACCCCCCAGTTGCACTGCTGTAGACAAAACTCTGCAGTTTGGGGGTCCTTGTCAACTCGCATTGTCTACCAGTTGTGCCATTTCCTTGACTGGGAGGCTCTGCTCATGGTCACTCATGCCTTCATCACTTCCTGATTGGACTACTGCAATGCACTCTACATCAGGCTGCCCTTGAAGACTATTTGGAAGCTTCAGCTGATCCAGAATGCAGCAGTATGTGCACCATGGTATGCCCATGTAATGCCGTGCTACTGTGTGAGCTGCACCAACTTCCAGCAGGCTTCCAAGTGCAGTTGAAGGTACTCATTGTCACCTTTAAAGCCCTACATGGCATGGGGCCAGGTTACTTGCAGGACTGCCTGTCCCAGATGGTTTCTGACCATCCACCTGATCTGGCACAGAAGGCATATTCCAGGTCCTTTCTGTGAAGCAGCGTAGCCTGCTGGGGTCTAGGAAGCATGTATTATACTTTTATTCTTGTTGATCACCCAAAGTTCTTCTGGTAGATGGGCAGCCATAAAGCTTTGTTAAATAAGTAAATGATTTGTTTAAAAAGCCACAATAAAAACTATGGCTTTTTCTAGAACAGCCCAGTTTGCTACAACTTGCAGGCTGCTGTATTACTGGAGACTCTAAGCAACTTAAAATATTAATATCAAAAAAATTAAAAACAAAAATCAGTTAATGCAGTTGTAAGTAATCCTAGTAAGACTGTGGGGCTGTGGATTTGTGGCTCCTCCATTTCCAGGGGCTTCCAGCTCCTGGAACTGGTGTGTAATTTGGAGGTTCTCCTACATTCATTGGTCTTGCTCAAAGAACAAGTGGCAGCTATGGCCAGGAAGGTCTTTGCCTAGATCATGGGCGCAACTACTTCCTTTACTGTATTGGGAGCACCTACTTATGGTCACTCATGACTTAGTTAACTTTGTAGTTTTAGAGCTGCCCTAGAAGACTCCTGAAAGCCCCAACTTTTCAGAATGTGGTAATATGAGTGGTTATGGATCTACCAGTCAGGCCAATGTGTCATCATTTGCAGTCGTATGATCTTATTCATCCTCAAATGCCTTCTGAAGACCTATGTTTTTATGGAGAAAATTATCTCAAGGGATATTTAGATATAAATTCCAAAATGGAAGCTTGCAGATTTCTCATATATGGAAGAGAGTGGGTGAGGCACAACCTTACACAAGAGGAGCTGTGTAAGAACATTATTCAATGAGCACGAATGCACTGCAGCAACCCAGAATACTAGAAAAAGGAAACAGACCGCCTATACAACATCTTCCAACAAAATGGATACCGATGCAACTTTATCAAAAAGTGCCTGACTACTCAACTTACTATAGCACAACCAACAGAAACTACGAAAAGGATATCACTGCCATATATCAGAAACATCTCAGAAACAACCAATAGACTTTTACAACCACATGGTATCTCTCTAGCACACAAACCAACTAAAGCCCTCCAAAGCATCTTAAGTAAACCAGAAGACCCAGTAGCCCAAGAAAAAAAAATAGGAGTTGTCTACAACATGCAGGGTAAGGACTGTAACAGCCACTATGTAGGATGGACAGGCAGAAGACTAGCAGACTGCTTCCATGAACACCAACTAGCAGAAGACATAATGAAAACTCTTTAATCTCACAACACATGGACAGACTCAACCATAGCTTCAGTTGGGAAACTCAGTATCCTAGGCCAAGCTAAATCCAAAAACGCTAGGGAATTCCTGGAAGCTTGGCTTTCAGACAAATCAGCCATCAATAGACACATAGAAATAGACCATATTTACACCATTCAAAAGAGACAATAAAAAAGCTAAGAAGGAAACAAAAAGACACATCCTCTCCAGCAGCCAACATCCAGATAAGCAGGGATTCACAGCAGATAATCAATTTGAAAACAATACCCCAATCAAGGAACTACCAAGGGCAAAGCCACATCCCTACCAAAACTGGCAGGCAAGCTACTGTATATAAACGGAGCAAATCCCACACTCACTTGCACTGATGATGTTGCCTAGTGTTCTCTGATCTTAGATGTCTGCAAGCAAACAACTAAGATCAGAGAACACCAAGGATTCCACAGCACAGGTTTGTTCCTGTAGTGCTGGATCATGGCTGAGTGCTCAGTTGGAGTCAGGCTTTTCAGTGTGTTGAGAAGTTGAGTGAACGTTAGAGATCTGAAGAATGTAGTTATGTATAGAGCACATGAGTGAGACTGTCATACGGAGTTTTGCTATCACCAAAGTCACCTTGGGTAAATGGTCTCAAACTTTAGCAAGGGACATTTCATTGTAATTTATCAACTGCAGCGGGCTTGGTAAGCGTTATAAATTCAAAGGAGAATTAGTATTAAATGAACATGCTTGCTTGTGGAAAAGCCTGTGTCCCACAAATAATGCTGTAAAGAGGCAGAGAAAGTATATCAGAGTCAGCTGATAATTCATATAAAACAAAAAAACTACTTGGACTTTTTTTTTTAAGTGAAGAATCTGCTATCTTTATGGAATCATGGAGTATTTCTTTTTTCTTATTTGGAAAATGAGTTTGAGATTCACTAGCTGAGATTGCATTGATTGCTTTTTTTTTTTTTTTACTGCAGATAGGCAGTAGTATAATCTTATTCTCTTACATTTTTCAAAGGCCCATAACATTTAATTATCACATGAGAAGTTTGTCTTTCTAGAAAAGTGAATTCTGTAAGCATGCTCTCTGAAACAAGAGTTTAATCCCCAGAAACGTTTGCTATGGTGTTAGAGATTTTTCACTCCTTCCTGTTGACAGAGGCTCTCTCTTGGGAAAAATGTAGGTGCTGCTTACATCGGATAAAGCTGCTGCCAACTTCTCAGACCGTTCATTGCTGAAGAACCTGGGTCACTGGCTGGGAATGATAACGTTGGCTAAGAATAAACCCATCTTGCACACGGTGAGAAGGGGAACATCAGTGCATCCTTGAATATTCACTTTTCTCATTTCCTGATTTCTGCATTGACACACAAACAACATGCATATAGAATAAGTAAAATGTGCAAAAGAAACTCATCTAGCTTGTGACATTGTTTCTTCCTTTGTTTATTTTAGGACTTGGATGTCAAATCCTTGCTGCTAGAGGCTTACGTAAAAGGACAGCAGGAACTGCTATATGTTGTGCCATTTGTTGCCAAAGTACTGGAATCCAGTGTAAGAAGTGTGGTAAGTCTAAGACACAGAGTGCATAGAATGCAACCTACATTTAGAAACAAGAATTTCCCATAAATTTCAGCACTTTTAATAGCTGTTAAGGCTCCTATAAGTCTCTTGTGACATTTCAGCAGCCAGATACTGAAGTTGGGTTTGAAACATTGTCTTAAACCTACTATAATGTTGACGGCAGGAAAGCACAATTCCACCCATACTTTAAAGAAGGAAAATGAGCCAAAAAAACCATATTTGGTACATTTTGCCTTAACAAAACGTTCAAAGAAAAAAGTCCACAAAGATTTTGTCCAACCTTACACAGGGCAGCTGGGGAAAGCTGCCCTGTGACCCACATGCATCAGAAGGGTGGGATATCCATTTTTGTAGGACTAAGTAAGTATGTTGTGCATTCTGCCTCAGTAGTAGCTTAAAAGGACCTGTGGTCCTGCTAAGCTATGACCCACATCATCCCGTACCATTGGCATTTTAGATTGTAGTCCTGGGAACATATGGCAAACCACCCCTCACCTCTGGATAGAACTGTGCTGCTCCCTTTTTAATATGCAGAAGTTTCAACTCTAACCCTAACTCTGTTTTACATTTCCCAATGTAATTCTTGAAACTGGATTGCTAATTTTATCCTCCTCCTCTCTTTGTAGGTTTTCAGGCCTCCAAATCCATGGACCATGGCAATTATGAATGTTCTTGCAGAGCTTCATCAGGAACATGACTTAAAGGTAAAGTGTGCTTAAGTTATTTACACTTTTCAGCAGTGTCTTGTTTAGAACATGAATTTGCTTCAAGATTTGAGCTCAGCTACTGAATTGTAGCCAGTTTAGTGAAAATGCTTAGACCAAGATTACCCTGCAGATACTGGGGGTATCTAAATCCAACAGCTTTTATTTCACATGCCCAACACAATTTAGATTTAATTTTCTATTTAATGCTTACCTTGAAAGAAATAGTCTTTTTTCAGAACATGCCATGATTTGGAATGGTGGGTGGGCATAATATGAAAGCTCACTGTCAGTATAGCTTGAAATAGCTACATTATTAAATCTGAAATGATTAAATATTGTACAGCTGAATCTGAAGTTTGAAATTGAAGTGCTCTGCAAAAACCTTGCCCTTGACATCAATGATCTAAAACCTGGTAGTCTCCTAAAAGACAAGGATCGGTTGAAAAACTTGGATGAACAGTTATCTGCTCCAAAGAAGGATGTAAAACAAGCAGAAGAGCTACCACCAATTACCACTTCCAGTAAGTGTCCAGAATAATTCTTGCCTGCACTATACAAATAAGATCTGTATCTCCCAAAGTGATTAGTAAAGAAGGGTTGTTTTCAGATTTATTCTTTTTCAATAATTGTTATCAGTCTTGTTTGCATGCCTCATACAAAACTCAAAATACTTCTAAGGAAAACAAAAGGTCTGCTGCCATTTCTTTTGTCTGCTGCATAGTAGCTCTGCACCACTTAATTCACTAACTCATTTGAAGAGTTTTAAGGGACTATAAACTTCTGGAGAACAGGTCTATCAAGTGCTGTTGGTTTTGAAGACTCGGTATTATCTTCAACATGGGGTGAGCATGCCTCCAAATACTAGTTGCAGGGAACAGTGGCAGGTCCTCACCCCCTATTTGTGATCATCACGGAGGTATCTGATTGACCACTGAAAAAGCAAAATGCTGGATACAATGTCTTGGCCTGATCCATGGGGACATTAGAGAGCACCCATTGGGGGAGAGGGGATGTAGTGGTTGTTACAGAGGCTTGGAAGTTTGAAGGTGGGAGTAGTGATAATGGCTTCATGGGGCTTTCTTAGGGGCTGGGGCTCATGAAGTTGAAGGGTCCTGCAGAGTCTTTGGCCACAGCTTCTACTCTTGAATGCCAGGTCTGTCTGATCATAGATCAAGGGCAGACCTCTCTTGCATTATCGAGACTTGGATGGGTGCAGAGGAAGAGTTCCCCTTCCTGAATTGTGGCTTACACCAACCACGGCCTCAGGGCAGAGGAGATAAGGTGGTGATTGTTATCCAGGATGCTCTGCAGATTACTAGAGACACTTTTTTGAGATAAAAAGATGTGAGGCCTTGCTTGTGTGGTTGGGCTTGAGGGAGAAGCTGTGGGTATTGTTGCTGTACCACCCTCCTTGTTTCACAGCTTTGTCTTTGCTTGAACTACTGGTTGGTGATTGGTTTGCCTCACCTACTGGTTCTGGGGGATTTCAGTCTTCCTTCTCTTGGAAAGGGGTCTGAAGTAGCTCATGAGTTCATGGTCACCATGACAACCATGGGTATGTCCTAGATCATCATGGGCACAATCTGTGTAGGGGCTCATGTATTAGATCTGGCAGCTGAGTTGTAATCCAATAGTGGGGAACATTAACAGCAGTCCCTCGTCCAATTGGTCAAATCACTCTCTTCTGTCGCTCCTGGCTTCTGCAGGGAGGATGGACCCATTCTGTTGCTGCCCCATGGGTCCTCTTGGTTTCCACAGGGCACTCGGGTCTTATCCTGGGTAGTTCTGGGGTAGTTCTGTTGGGGGCCTACTCAACTTGGGAATACACAAGTGGCAGCGACCCTTAACAGGATTGCCTCTGAGCAGTCTCTCCCTGTGTTCTTCCTTCGTATACTGTGGAGCTCCAGTAGATGCCAAAAGCAGCTCTGGCATCTTACAAAGAGCAATATGGCCGATCCTGGATAAGAGCTCAGGTTCGAGCCTACACATCAAAGGCAAGTGTGCAAACCTGAGCTCTTACCCAGGATCGGCCATATTGTTCTTTGTAACATGGCAGAGCTGCTTCTGACATCTATTGGAGCTCCACAGTAGAAGTGTCAGCACTTCCCTGCCCTTACGACATCTGCAGATTGCCACCCAATGGCCTGGTTTAAGGTTACCTGGATTTTATTAGTGATGAGTGGGCTGGAAGATCACTAAGTGGCCACTGTAAAGAGAGCAAGAGCTGAAGTGCCTGGGAGCCCATCACATCCCGTTGATTGATTGATTGATTGATTGATTGATTGATTGATTGATTGGGTGCTGTTGTATGATTGGATGGAGGGTCCCCTAACTAGGGAAGCTGGGGGTTTGGAATTTGGGAGAACTGGAGCACCTGAGGGGCTTACGGCGGGTTATACCATTCAGGTAGTGATGGGAAGGGGATGTTACGACGGAAGTCAGAGGGCGGGCCGCTCTCAGGGAAGGCACCCCCAGTGTTTGTTACCGGTGGTGTGTTCTGGCCCTCTGGACTCAGACCCAGGCCCTGAAGAGCAGACCCACAGAGGCCCTGGCTTTTGGCTGCTGCTTCTTAATGGCAGGTCAGTTAACAATGAGGCCCCCCTCATATGTGATTTGATCACTGAGGAGCAGGCCGACCTGGTGTGTATTACCAAGACCTGGCTTGGCCCTGAAAGGGGGGTGCCCAGCCAGGTTCATGGTCTGGCACCAGCCAAGACCCCAGGGCAGGGGAGGAGGGGTAGCGGTTGTCATCCGGGAATCTCTTTTGGCCTTCAGGGGCGCTGCTCCACAAGTGACCAGTTGTGAGACCCTGTCTTTGAAGTTGGGTTCATGAGAACAGTTGGGATTGTTGTTACTGTACCAGCCTCCCTGCTGCACAGCAACTTCCCTGCCTGAGCTGCTGGAGGCCATCGTGGGGCTGGCAGTAGACTTCCCCAGACTTATGATCTTGGGGGACTTCAACTTGCCATCCCTAGGACAAGCCTCAGAGGCAGCTTGGGAGTTCATGGCCACCATGGCGGCCATGGGCCTGTCTCAGATTATTCGTGACCCAGCTCGGGACAGTCGCTTCACACCGGACCTGGTTTTCTTGTCAGAGCAATGGCAATGTGATCTGAAGGAGGAATTACGTCTATCCCCCTTGTCATGGTCAGATCATGCCCTGGTGGCCCTGAGGTTCTCCTATGCTACCCACTTCCACAGGGAGGTGGGACCTATTGAACTGGTCTGCCCACGGCGACTAATGGGCCCAGTGGGGTTCCAAAGGGAGCTGGGGGTTATACCCGAGGGTCTGCTGCACAGTCCAGCAGAGACCTTGGCCACTTCCTGGAATAGGAAAGCAGCCAAGGCCTTGGACAAGATCACGCCCATGTGACCTCTCCTAGCCCATCGAGCCTGACACTCCCTGTGGTTCGCAGAGGAATTGAGGGTCTTGAAAAGGATTAAGAGATGTCTAGAGCACCGCTGGAGGAAAACAAAGACTGAACACAAGCTACAGCCGCGATTAAGGCCTACCTTGTGGTGGTAAGAGCAGCGAAACATCTACTTTTCTCTGCTCTTATTGCATCCGCAGAATGCCACCCAGCAGCTCTGTTCAAGATCACCTGATCCCTTTTGGGAAAGGGGGGCCCAGTGGCCCATTTACAGGGGCACGCAGAGGATGGGCATCTGGAGGATAAAATTGCTCGCATCCAGTCCCAGTTGGATACCAAGCATGCAGCATGATCTATAGAGGGTGCCCAGGATACAGACTTGTCCTGACATCTGGGAATAGTTTGATCCCGTTGAACCCAAGGAAGTGGACAGGGTCCTCCAAACGGTCAGTCCCACTGCTTGCCAACTAGATCCATGTCCCTCCTGGCTGGTTAAGGCTACTTGGGAGGTGACATGTGGTTGGTCCAGGTGATGGTGAATTGATCCTTGAGGGAAGGAGTGTTTCCAGCTGCCTTTAAGGAGGCACTGGTGCATCCCCTCCTCAAGAAGCCATCACTGGACCCCACCATACTGGACAATTTTCGCCCAGTCTCCCACCTCCCCTTTCTAGGAAAGGTGGTTGACAAGGTGGTGGCATTGCAGTTCCAGAGGATCCTGGAGGAAACGGATTATCTGGACCCCTTCCAGTCAGGTTTCAGGCCTGGATTTGGGATGGAAACGGCATTGGTCGCACTCATGGATGATCTCTAGTGGGAGCGGGATGGAGGTAGTGCATCCATCCGTGCTCTTCTTGACCTCTCAGCAGCTTTTGATACCATTGACCATGGTATCCTTTTGGGCCAACTTAGGGAGTTGGAAGTGGGCAGCACAGTTTTGTGCTGGTTTTTTTCCTTCCTCCAAGGTCGATCCCAATTGGTGTTGATTGGGAGCAAGAGGTCCAGCCCACGGCCCTTCCGTTGTGGGGTGCCCCAGGATTCAGTAGTCTTTCCACTCCTTTTTAACATCTACATGAAACCATATGGGATGAGGTATCATCATTATGCAGATGATACCCAGTTATACATCTCCATCCCGGGTGAGGTGAGTGATGCTGTGACCACCCTTTTGCAGTGCCTGGAGGCTGTTGGGGTCTGGATGGGGAACAACAGGCTTCGGCTGAACCCTGGTAAGACGGAGTGAATATGGATTGGAGCCCCCTCAGTATCTGAGAACTTACCATCTTTGGTTTTGGATGGGGTTGCACTGCCCTGGACAGACCCAGTGCATAATCTGGGGGTCCTCCTGGACTCACGACTACTGCTCAAAGAGCAGATGGCAGTCATGGCCAGGAGGGCCTTTGCTCACCTTCGGGTGGTGCACCAGTTACACCCCTTCTTGGATCAGGAGGCTCTCCAGTCAGTCACTCACGCCCTGGTCATCTCTCGGTTGGACTATTGCAATGTGCTCTACATGGGACTACCCTTGAAGAGTATCCAGAAGCTACAGCTGGTTCAAAATGCAGCCGCATGGGTGATATTAGGTGCCCCTAGGATGGCATATGTAACACCCTTGCTGTGGGAGCTACATTGGGTGCCAGTTTGCTTCCAGGTCCAATTCAAGGTGTTGGTTATTACCTTTAAAGGCCTACATGGCATGGGTCCAGGTTACCTGAGGGACCATCTCATCCCCATTACATCATCCTGTCCCACCCGGTCAGGCAGAGAGGGCATGTTGTGGATCCCATCAGTGAGGGAATGCCGGCTGGCA